ACTAAGAATGCCACAACTTTGTTGATTTCATTTTATCCGCTTAAAAATCTAAAAATAAATTATCCCTATGCAGAGTGTTTCTCCGAGTCTGTCTCAGTGCTTTTCGATAACATTGTGAGTCTCTGCTTCAGAGACCACCTACGTACCGAAATTTAGGGTTTACCGTAATGGTTCATTTTAAAAATTTGTTGGTTGCGGGTCATGAGTATCCATGAAACATAGGTTATCGTTACCTAACTGTGCGAATTTCCAGTACAGGATGAATTTCCTCTCCAATGCCATAAGGTTAGAGCTATGAAATGGCATACTTTTATGCGAGATTGTGCGTTGATTTCTTGTTCTGTCTGTTGTTGATTTATGATAGAAACTACACTGAGATGTTAATTGTTTGCCTCCGACTTTTATGCTTAAAATGTTTTCAATGTCTAAGTGTGAATTCATATCAAGGCTACTTAGAAATCATGGGTGTTATTTTCAAAGTATGGAAATGAATATCCTCCTACATGGATTCATTATCTACCACTTGATTTTATTTCTTGTTTAATCTTCGTATGTAGTCATGCTTGGATGCCCCTACAATATGATAGTCTACCGTATTGATGTATTCATGCTTCATCATACTTTGATTATCACTTTTTCACATCATTATGCATATTCAAATACCAAGATTGGTGCCCACCAATAGTATGCTTCTGTTTGATATTACCTTTTTATTGTACGCTGTAGAATTTTTGAATACTTCGGTAAGTTGTAGTTGCGATAACACATCAATAATAGTTATGGTAAAGATAATCTTGCTGCATAAATCGATGTCATACTTAGTCCAAGATTACAAGGATGATGTGAATTTAAACACTCCATCAATCCCTTTCACCAGCGGTTCATAGATTCGTGTGGATTCATCCACTACCATATAACCAGACTTTCGTTATATTACAATCATTGATTGTTATTCATGTTCTATGTTTTTATTTGATTTCTCAGTCAGATCTAATTCAAATACTAACGGCTGTCGTCGATCTGTTATGATATACAGGCATTAACCGGGCATCATCACAGCTAGAAGAACAATGCGAATGTTGTTTGGTTTGAAAGTAGTTAGGACTGGAGTTCTTGTGAAGTTACATCGTGGTGATAAAAAATCTGTTGAATGAAAGTAGCATTTCAAGCTTTTTTGTTCATAATGTTGATCAGCCGGAAAATTGCTATATTCACTAATTAACTTTAAACCTTCCCTTCTGTTACATTTCGACACTGTCAGTGATATCAATTTATGGCTGTCGTTGTCTTTAAGGTGTTTACCTTTAGTTGGTTTCTTGCATCATATGACTGAAACTAATCTTCAATCCCTTAGATAACTATTTCTTTGCGTTTTCATGTATGTAGCTTCGTTTCGTTACTATTAGTTTCAAATTGAAATATATTCAAAATGTGGTTGGGATATATTTGCTGTTTAACTATCGATAAACTTCTTTGTTAAACCGATACTTCGGGTGTACTAGAAATTCATGCATCCATACGTATACAAAAACGTGTTTCATCATTTTAATTCATTTTTCCTCTCACCTTAGATTTTGTTACTCTGTCAGAAAATCTACGTTCAATCATAGAATACCTGATGAAGAACATTTGGCCATCAAGTTTGCCTCATGCGAATGCAGCTCTTTTTCATTGTCGTCTTGTATTCTACCTAACTTCTTTGTATTATGCATGTCACAACAGTTTATATGTTTCAAGTCGATCAATAGAAAATGCATACTGGGTTAGTGATGGTTTTACGTGTTTTCACTTTATTCATAACGTGCTTTTAACTAGAGTTGGCTGTTATATAATAAGTGCAGATGATTAATAATTGAGTGCAGAATATGTGCTCATTGAAGTGCTTTCCAAGCAAATTGGTTAGGTTGTATTGATCATACAGATATTCTTCTTTTGGTGAGTAATTCATTGAACCTCTTTGTAAATCAATTACCCTTCTTGTACATATATCTTTGCTGTTTTATTTACATAGTTTTTTGGTTTTATCACATACAAGCCAGGTTTTTATCTTTAAACCAGTAATTCAAGTGATTTTTAGCAGTGTTTCAATCTCATCTACAACCATGAGAAGAGCTATTTGGCTTTTTGTTTCCCGTCGTGAATAATTTTTTTTCATTTATTTCGTTTAATTTTCGCTTCAGGTTCCGGATTTATTTTCGTACACTAGAGATTTACTCGATCAAGATTGGGATACGTCTATCAAATGGAAAGGTAATTGTTATTCCTGATGCATATCTTTTAGCTCATTAGATGATAAGCGAAGTTGAAAGGTCGCTGCTCTGTGTTATATGTCTGTTCACATCTTCAGTCACTATCCTTATATAAATTTCATTCATATTCCTAGCAGTCGTATAAATTACATCATCGGGGCTTTTTTAATGGTCATTTTGTACTAAGTTTGTGCTGAAGTAAAATCCGCAACACACAAGTCATCAGTCGTAGCAATCCCAAATTATCAATGTCCGAGGTGTTATAATAGGTTGTGGATGTGTTATGATGTATCTACCGGTGGATACTGTTATCAATCCTGTAGTTGATATCGGCACTAAGTGTGATAAGCAAATGCGTTGCTCGTAAAGATGGAAGTTTTAGATAAACAAATATGACAACTGAAATCGAAGCGACATTGGACGGTGTTCCTGACAGTCGTATTTGTATATACCGAACAGGAATGCTATCTACAAATCACTTCGGTAGAGTTTGAGAAGTTAGTTTATTTTAGCCAATAATACTGCTTGTTTCTTGATTTTCTATGTATGTGACAACCGACTACCACGATGTCACTTTTTTTGAACAGCAGGTTTATATCGTACCTAATGACTCACTATTTGAAAAAGGACAAATCGATTTCCTAGCAGTCCCTAAGTTTCGCTCCATTTTGAAAATGCAAATGCCCATAACATGGCTTGTTTTTACGCTGTACAAATGCATTTTATAATTGTAGAACCTGAAGAGAATTTGTTGAAAAGAATATTCTTCGTTCAGATTGTTTTTTGTAAATATTTGTTTGTCTAGTTTTTGTATGACCAGTTCTTGATTTCACTATAAATTTTTGTTAAGGAAGAGCAAAAAATATTGGTTGTTGTTTTGCTCTACACACTTTCTCTCTCTTCATTTTTATGTACTTCAGTGATTATAAATTGTTTTAACTATGATTTCAAAAGGTAGATTCATGATTCTATTTTCCACCACTCAATAGGTGTTCAGGTGGGAATATATGAGAATATGTGATATAGTCATGTGTTGTTTGGTTCGACTTTTTTTTCGTTATGCAACACTAGATGTTTGCAAAACAATGCGTATAGATTACCAAACTGTTTCATTATGGACTTCATACAAAGGTTATACAAGTCACCTAATGAGGTTGAGCTTAAGTACGTTATACAGCTCCTCCGTGTTTCTGCTGAAATAACATTTATGCGTAAACTGACAGTGAGTAACTCTTATATCTGTGAAATCATAATTTTAGTTTTATACGTCTTCACTGACTAGGTTAAAAAAGTCTTTTTCTCTCCAGTGCTTTTAAACGCTGTTTGGGAATGATCCACATCTTATCAGTCATGTGACTGGTAATTTGTTCGAAGTCTTGCAATTTCTGTTTAAGTACTGCTGGCCATACGAATAGGAGTTATCTTTAGCTGACACTTAGTTGTCCTGTTAGCATAGGTTTATGAACTAGATAGCTGTTATTTAAGAGATTTCACTTAGTATAACTATGTTTGATTCCCTATCACATTGTATTAGTATTTTTCATCTCAGGTCAAACCTATCGTGACTGCCTTCAAGCATTACTTTCATTCCATCTTCGTTGTCACTTTTATCGATATGAAGAGCGGTGTTCTTTATCGCATTCAACTAATTTTCTAGTTGAATTTACACAAAAACGTCTGGTCCCTGCTGTTCAGCGTTATAAGAATATTAACGATACTTCCACTCTCAATGACATATCTGATGCACCAGTTACCTCCTATCGAACTTTAAATCGACAGACTATTGACGTGTACTGCCGAGAGGTGATGGAAACTGTCGTCTGGTAAGTACAAAGCTTAGGTAGTATGCTAAGAAATACACTCTATTTTGCAGATACATAACAGATTTCGGTTTATTTCTATATGAGTGCTCGTCTAAGCAGACTTTTATTACTTTAATCACCACATGTATAGCTCATTGTTAGATAATTTCGGTCTAATCACTTTTAAAAATATTCATAAGTTAGTTCTGATTATTCAATTATTATATATTTCATTTCAATATGAGGAAACCTTTAAATCAATAAAAAATTTAACATGCTGGTGTAAAGTTAATCATAAAAGTAATTTTCTGGAATTGATGTGATTTCGATACTGTCTCATCGATGCATTCTCTTCGGCAATTTAAATAAGTCTAATTGCTCGTTTCCGGAACACAATGACGTCATGAAGACATAGCGTATGTGCTAACTAACTGAGGGTTGAAAATATTCATAACTTTAGATGATTGTTGCATCTTATAGCATTATCTTCGTCTTTCAATGAATCAAGAGAACACTCACTACCAGATAACGGGATTTATGCAAATTAAGAAGTCGCTTTCACCCCTCGGTTCCCAGCTATACATGATGTATTTCTTCATTATACACTCACGCTACCCAATCATGGGCATAAGGAAAGTGTAGTTCAAAAATCCCTTCTTGGTTATAGTATTGTTTGTTAATTAGGTATCTTTAGAAGTTGAACAGTGAACGATATCGAAGTTGTGAGAGCAGCGTATGGAAATACTAACCATTTTGACTGGATTTTCGAATATGTTTCCTATCATCAGGTCACGTAATATGCGTCTTTATCACCAGCAAACCTTACATTGTCAGTTTACAATGAAAGAAATATTTCGGCAAAATGTCATCAAAATTGTAACTGGTTGGGATTGTTTTATGAACTAATCAATTGTCACATATTTTCGTTTGTGAATCATAGTTGTAAAACACGGGTTTTTCTTACTTAAATATTACGAAGACTACAAATGTTCGCCTTCGTAAAATATCTGTGTGACGATGAAATTTGAAGTTAGAAGACAATCGATTGATACGGTTGTAAATTTTTACTTACTGACACTTTTGAAATATATCATACACTACTACCCACCACCTACCTAATTGTGTGGTGTTGGCAATCAACTTTGGGTGGAAGAATTCTCAAGGTTTTTCGATAGAAAGCAAGAATCTATAAATTTTGTGTTTATTGACTTATCATATACGGAAATGTAGAGGGTCTGGATTGTGGTTAATGCAAAAACCTCACTAGTTGTTTGAAGATGTTACGCGACAGCTCAGAATCGAATGCTTTGGCACAAATGGGTATACACTACCTTCAAAAGCACAAAGAAATTCATGTCTGTACTCCAAGGACTGCTTCATGGTGGTTCTTTTTAGAATCTATAAGGCTTTTACTGGTTGGATCAATTTTCAAGCAAATGGATTGATGAGATTTTGTCTGTACGGTATTTGATATGATTATGAGCAATAATTTATGCTCGAAACGTAATCAAGTAAATAATACTGTATCACTGTGCGCTTTATATCAAATAAACAAATCTAATATGGAACTACATTCTACCACAGTGCCCAAGTTTTTCACTTATATCAATGTACGGTATTTGGTTTGGTTTTTGCAAAAGTATAATCAAATTGATGCACTTAATTATATCTCCCCTAGTTTGCTTAGATTAACGCTTGGTTATACTAAGCTTCACAGGATTCGTTTATCCAGCTTTCATTAAACTACGTCATGCGCATCATATTTTTATTTTATTTGCGTAAACTGGTAGTCTTGAATTGTGTAAGATTTTTTATTATTAGTATCGTTCATTTCCCTATGGATTATTGTTTCAAGATATCATTTCTTAGATAGCCTTGGGGTGTTTATAATTTATTTTCAGCGTTCAAGCTTCGTTATTATACTGTCTATTATATGTAGTTTCTTGAATGACTATAAGGTGAAGAGTTCATATTCAGCGAGAAGTAGAATCCCAATGATTACCCTTTGTAACAACATAGATTTGATCACAAAATTGTGTCATCAAATTGAAGTTGAGCATTCTTAACATTCGTAACTGCTCTACACTTGGAATCATTAACTTCACTGACTTGGATTCTCACTAGGGGGACCTAATATTTAGACCTGTTTCCTTTACATAAGCAGTACTCTGACAATGTTTTAAGGAATAAGTGCTAGGTCCGAGTCACAGTTGGGAAAAATGTGCAAGGACAGCCAGCTGACAAGACTCCGACAGAATGAAGCTCAAATCTTGAAATTTACTGCTAGTGACAGCCGGGTAAATCACATTCTGGACGGTGTTCAGTATTCTTTTTGCATTCATTAGTTAGCATTGTATTTCTGTTGGAAATTATTCTGAGTCAGCTTTCGTGTAATTATCTTTTTATGGTTCAGTTTTTTCAGTTAATTTTTGTTTGGATAACTTGAGAGTTAACTGAGTTACTTGTGAAGTAAGACTTTATTTCCACCTAACAGTCAAATAAAGAAATATTTGTAATGATGGGTTTTAGATAATGATGGTGCTTATTGACTCTCGGGAACTGTTTACTGTTGGGTTACATTACATCTTATAATTGTTCAGACGACTTTGTGATATGTTGTTTTGTAGGATTTCAAAACATTTATGTAATTTGGCGAAACGCGTAAGTAATCCAACAAATTTGGTCCATTTAGATGAAAGCTCTATTGTTGCCCAGTGGAACCAGTGTGTTGAAGTATTATGTTGTATCACAAATTTCTTTCAAAAATCCACAAGACAAAGTACTTCAAAGATGATTAAATCCAATCCTGCTGATAAGCGTAATCCAACAATTCATTTGCTACCATCAGTGATGCGAACTGGACGTCTTTTCTTCAAGGGCTACTGAAAGGTGCTATGCCTTTACTAAGCAGCCTGTTCAGGTAAGTGATATTTTAATCCAATTTAGTGATTGTCGATTCTGAATCGATGGCGACTATATATATTAATCACTCTGTTTTGCTCCATGACAATTTATCCTTTCATTAATTTGAGTGGACAAATGTTTTTTGTCAGATGAATGCATTGTTTCTTTTTTTAGTTTCCATGTAGACAATCCTTCATTCTTATTTTATTGAAAGCTTTTTTCATTTTGTTCACTTTTGTGGCTTTAATTAAACTGTTGATTGCATATACAAACATGTACTGCTTCTCAAAACCGCCAGTAAACTGATGAACAAATCAAACACTAACCTGCAGTGCAGAAAATTCTCCTTAAAATTGATATATCAAACCCCATGATGTAAGCTACCTCAAGATTAACAGAAATTTATAAGTTAACGTTTTCACCAAGTTACTTATACCTATCAGTATTTTGTGAATGGTTAGTAAACCAATGTTCTAGCGTATTCAGCTTGTTTTACTTCGCTTATATCTGAAATTATGCATTAACTTCAGACATCGTGGTGTGGAGGTTACCACCTTCTTGAAGAATACACAGCAACTGACTCGTTTCCTGCAGCGTATATGTAATCATGCCAAAGCATATCGCGATTCTCAACTAACCAACCAAATTCCGGCTACAAGACGGTGTTTAGAAACATTTGTTTACAAAGTCAAGGTTAGTCTAAACTTCTTGGGTTTGTCATAATCTTACTGATTTACAATTTGAAGCATAACAATAACACTAAAAGTAATTCATGGGTACATAAATCAATCAGGCATGTATACACATATAAACATAGACTTAGGTGTTGTTTTTGGTGTTTGCATAATCCGAAACCCTGTATATGCTGAAATATTTTTATTGATCTCAGTCTCCAGTGTTTAGACAAACAAAGCCCAAGCAGGACCTAATGTAACATATTTCTGTCTGAATAAAGTAATCAGTCAGTCATAAGTAAGCTGTATTGAATCCCAGTACTTATTGCAGATGCTATTTAATGCGAAAAGCAATACGATATTAGTTGCGTTCAGTAATGTTTTTAGTGTTATTTTATTCGGAACACAAACTTAGTACAAAATACAGTACCAAGAGATGCATCATGCTAATTTATATAACAATAATAGGATGATAAAAGCGTGCTTTGTGTCGCCCACAGGTCAAGGAATACAGCTAGTGAACTTTTCTACCCAGGACTGAAGGGTGAGAGATATAGTCGATACGTTCACTGTCAGGTCAGAAACCTGCTTGGTTATCTCAGGTTTTTTGTCTTTGAGATTCACTTTGACTCCTGGCGTAGAAAACGACAAGACGGAGATGAAGGAAGGAATGTTTATTATTGATACTTTGCACAGTAATCTTCAAATATTGTACCCCTTCCACTAGGACAGTCATTCGCACAATATGCTTCGTTTCCTCTTCAGCTTGGTTTACTCTTAATACGCTCACGTTGTCTCTTGCGTTTCTCTGGGCAGAATCTTTACCCATTGCTGGTTATTTCCCATGATATTTCTGCCGCCCTCTCAACAAATACTACCTACATCCTGATCAGCAACGCCCACTATACTAGTAGTAGTTATGAACCTAGGATCTTTGGTATTGTGCGTGAAACTAACTCACCCGTGGTTATCGCAGTAGGACATATCCCATTTCTTGGAAACTGGGAAGATGAAAGATCGAGACGGATCGAAAGGGATGATGTCTGATTCTCATATACTAACTACAATACAAAGCATCTAAAGAATAATTCTCTTTCACCTCTGCATCTGTTTGAAATAAGCCTGTCGAGCCATGGTACCCATCTTCGTTTCGGTTTACCAACAGCCTTGTCAACTTTATCATGAGTTGCAGCTCTCACTAACCAGTAAAATTTTGTCTCAGTTTATTTCATCAGTCTAAATGAGTGCCTTCTGTTTTATATTATCGCAACTTTTTCATGTTTTTGGGCTTTGGTTATGCTAGAAAGAAAATAACTGACTCGAAATGAATCGAAATGCAAATGTACCCAGCAACTTTGACCGCATTTCTGCAGTAGGATAACGAGCCACACCTATTGCGCGATGGCTAGTGACAATACCTGACTGCCTGAAACCTCTGTAGGAAAGACTCTATTCGAACTCCTAACTCATTTATTAAAAGTCATCTCTCTAAACTAATGAGTCACAGCCCAACTCTGCGCATAATCACTGCGCTAACTCCTGGTCAGTTCTAAATTTGAGTTACCTAATTACTTATTTTGCTCGAAAACCGCGGGAATGCTTTCACATGCATCCATTACTGCCGAAAGAGCTGGTGATTTTCACTGACCCTTTCTAATATTTTCCTTACAGTCATTAACATTCTTTTTGTTTGAATTAGCCTACTTTCTTATGTATTGAAATCGCCTGCTACAAGGACTACATCTGAACAGCTTGCTTACAGTGAGAGGCCAGACACTTCACAGTATAACTCATCTTTCCCTGCATCCGAACTGCAGTAATCAGGGAGAGCGTAAGCAGAGATTGCAAACAGTGAGCCCCACTGTTTCTTTTAGTCCTCACTGCACCATTCAGGCGAACAGCCCACAGATGTCTGTCAACTGGGATCAAATTAAGTAGTACACGTTTTGCTTTAAGATTTGATGGCATACTCACATCTGCAAGACTGCGAGAAGTAGCCATTGAATCTCCGGAAACTTTAAGGATGAAGTTTGTATGGGTAACCGCAGTGTTTCATATATGCAATATTCTCTGGGGATTATAATTTGTAAGTAATTTTGTTATCTACACTTTTATCGTACAAAAGTGTTTCTTTGTGCCCACAAAAGACTCTGTAATAGAATTTTAATTAGACTATACTCGCTTTTAATTGCTCATATTTTATCTGTATTTTGTTGAGTGACTTTTGTTGCTTCGCTTGTTTACTTAGATAATGCTGTCCCAAAATCATTGTCTTGAAGCTTTTTGGCTTGGAACATTGAAAAATCGGGATCTGCATGGAGTCGAACTCCCAGATGACAATGATTCTATTGAAAGTGATACTGAGGCACCTAGTACTACTTACCAGGATGATTCATGTTCAGTTAGTTGTTCTCGGTCTTCGTTTGGGGATAACCGTAATTCTACATCATACCAAGCAGTGGAAAAGCTATCTTCAACGTCAAGAAAAGGTCGTTCTAGTACCATGAATCAGGTTATTCTGGGTCATGTTGATGGAGAATCAGTGGAACAAGAAGTGGAAGAACTTGACGATGAAACTGTTGAGGAAGGTGCTGTTTTAGACGACGAAGAAGATCTTACTGAAGATGACGGAAACAGTGATGTCCTAGAGGCAACAGACGAAGAATACTGAATCTAACACCTCAGCGCCGTAATTCTTATTTGATGGTTCTACCATTCTTTTGATCAATAAAATATTTTTGACTACTATTATTAAGTTTCTTTTTTTTGAAATTAACATCAGCGTGAGGTAAATTTAACTCTCATATTCCTGACCATTAGTTAGTCATTTAAAAGTTCCAGACTATTTCGAGCTAGAGGAAATGTGAATCAGATGACTACTGCTTTTTTTGGCGATAAGTAATACATTGTTGTGGTATATATAGGAAGTACGGAATGAGTTAGGTGAGGAGATGACACTCTGAGTGTGCGATGAAACTCGTTTTCTTCGGTCACCGTGACCTTAGGGAAACTAAATGCACCGCGAATTATTCTATTAACCGTGGGTCATAGGAAAGAAATCGGAACTGCTTTCTAAACCGGGGTTACGTGACATAGTGTTTTCCTCCAGTCACTCAAATTCTTTAGGATGTTGCATTTCAATATTCAGCAGGTCTTCTCTACAAGCTGTGCATTCCACCTTGACGTATTGTTTTTCGTTGTTGACAAAAAAGACCTAAAAGTAACTAAGAAAAATATAGAACAACGAGTAGTTGCTATTTAAGGACCATGTGGTCAATCTCAACCGCGTGTCTGTTGAGGCCCGAATTATCCTAAACTAAAAAGTGCGATGGTCGCCAATATCTCTAAATGCATGTATCTCATTCTGTTATAACTTCATTTCAATTTATATCGATATGCTACTACATTATTTTTGGATAAATACTATTTGTCTCTTAAATTCTTCCATCTCCTAAAGTGATCTATGGACTCTTGGTATGGCTCTTATCGTGTCATGTACATACGTATTTGTTCACCAGTTAACTGTACTGGTCTTTTTCAAGCTTAAATTAAAGTTGAGTAAAAACACCTCATTGAAATTCCATTCAATTTTACCTCTGTTATATGTTGACATTTTCTTATTGACTGTCATCTGTTCAGCCACCTTATATATCAGTCTCGTTCCTATGAACTATGAAAAGATATATAACTGCGAGAACTGTAATTTAATCTTGAACTATTGTGATTCAACTTTTATTTTATGCCATCCCCGAGTAATTTCGGTCCTAGTTTTGTTTTTGATTCACACATAAAAACATATTTTTCAGGAAAAAGTTAACTTGAAATTCTTTCCAAACTGTTAGTTTTTGCAGTGTCTTTAGTGCTGTCGAATGTTCATATTCTTTGATGCTTGTGTGTTTAATTCAGTGATTTAGTTACTGATACGAGAGTGCTCTTTTTAACTACTCTGTAGATAACAGCAAATCGAATGAACAATGATCACAAGCTTTTGATTGAATTAATCATGCTAACTGTTCATGACATTTACGCTTACTAGGGTAAGATAATGAACTTTATGGAATTAAACTTCTAACTTAAACCACCAACTGCTTGCTATCAAATCGATCGTTCATAAAAGACAGTGATGCGAAGGGATAGTTAGTAGGAAAACAGTTTTGTAAGTTGAATTAAAGTGTGATAACATGCATGAATGCGAAATGTTTTTGGGAAAAAGAACGAAAAAGTATCTTTTTAGCTATGTCATTCCTTGAAGCAATTTTCCGCGTTTCGGTCTAGAATATTTTGTAGTTACATATACTGCCTTTGATTCTGCTCACACTAAAAAGTATTCCTATAAAAGAAAGTTGTGAGTGGTTTAAAAAATGATGTAGGGACTGCATAAACTTCAAAACTAACATGAATTGACTTGTAATATGTAAGTTGCTGAAATCCAGGAAAGCAGCAGGACTATATGGAATTTTTCCAGAAGCACTGGAAACTGACACAGAGACAACAGCGGACATGCTCATATCACTACTACAGAAGGTTTGCAAGGAAGGAAAGGTACCTGCAGATTGGAAGAAAAGTTGCAAAGAAGATCGACCTGAGTCTTTGGAAGAACTGGCGCGGAATCATGCTTCACTCCTGTCCACCCCAAGCAAAATATTCAGCCGCATCATCCTGGAGAGACTAAAGGATGCGCTGGATTCAGGAAGTACAAATCATGTGCGGACCAAATTACAACGCTACACTGCGCATCATCATAGAACAGAGTATAGAATGGAAGTCAACTCTCTACCTCAACTTCATCGACTTTGAAAAGGCCTTCGACAGCATCGACCGACAAGTATTTTGGCAACTACTCCAACACTACGGAATACCACAAGCCTTTATCAACCTCATTCAACAGTTACATGAAGACGCCACATGCGAAGTGGTTCACAATTGAAAGCTCAGTGATGCCTTCGAAGTGAAGACAGGAGTAGGCAAGACTGCCTACTGTCACCCATGATCTTCCTGATTGTGGTCGACTGGACTGGATTATGCAGCAAACTGTGATGAGCTGTGAGAAGAGGGGCATACACTGGACCGGGGAAGAGATCATAGAAGATATGGATTTCGCCGATGACTTGTGTCTAATGTCACACAAACTCGAAGATCTACAGGCAGAAACTAACAAGTTGACAGAAGATGCAGGGCAGCGAAAACGGGACTTCCTTCAGGTGAACGTAGAGAAGATAGAGGTGATGAATATACCCAACCAACGCCACCACCACCAACAACAAGCTCCAATCACCATCAACGGGAGAAACTTAAAGGAAGTAGCCTCTTTCACCTATTCAGGCAGCACCGTTTTAACTACAGGCGGCACAGGCACGGATGAGGACGTGAAAGCCAGGATCGGAAAAGCAAGACAGGCGTTCATTAACCTGTAACCGATGTGGAGATCTTCCGCACTCAGTATAAAGAACAAGATCCGGATTTTCAACACTAATTCAGTCAAGTCAGTGCTTCTATGTGGTTCAGAGACCTGGTGCGTTGGAAAGGCATTTCCAACAAACTGCAGACATTGATCAACAACTGCCACCTACGCTCGTTACTGAAGCTCAGATGGCCAGAAAGAATAAGCAACAAGGAACTCTGACTGGCGACGAACCAACCAAGAACCTATCACCGAACAAATCTGCAGAGGAAAGTGGAGATGGATTGGCCATACACTGAGAAGACCGACTGGGGACATCAAGCACCAGGCCAGGCCCTTGAGTGGAGCCGGAAGGAGGGAACGACGAGTTTGGCGTCCGAGGCGAGGTTGACATGGAGGAGATCGTGTGAGGAAGAAATGAGAGCTTGTGGGCAGTGGTGGAGCCAGGTTGAAAAAGATTGCAGAGAAGAGAGTGGAATGAAGATGTGCTACTGAAGGTCTATGTTCCACTAATAACCCAAGGGACAATTAACAATAATAATAATACCTTAACATGTTGCGTAATTCCTATTGTTATCACTCCACTTAGTATAAGACGCATTCTAGCTTTTTTGTAAAATTAATTGTATTTTTCCGAAATTCTTGGTCAGAAGACATACCATCGCAATTATAAAAAATTCCCAGTACGTATGTTGTCATTCTTTTAAGATTTATAAGAAAAGCACAGAATTGTTTAAGCTCCGGTTCTGAAGCATGTCAATTTTTATAAGTACGGGAGGCAATCCCACTTTTTACTCCCTCAAATACATAGAACACAAACTAATTATGTCGCTGAATAATAAAGAAATTCAACACTTGCTTTATTCATAATTTAGCGTCTCCCACTGCGACAATTTTTCAAGCATTCACTGATTTAAGATATATTTTTACAGTAATTAACCAAAATATAGTGACTCTAAATTTAGTTACAAAATGATAAGTCTGTACTTAACATCATGTAGAAACATTGAAGTGGAGGGTGTAAGTTAACACTGACAAAATTTACCAAGTGTAAACTACTACTAACTTAGACAATCAAGGCTACACTGAAAAAGATGCTTCTTTTTCATATGAAGCTTTTTTGGAGCTAACTTAAGCTTAGAACTTATACTTTTTGAACGATATCTTGCCAGGACATCAGTTTCTTACCATTCACTTCTTGAAATTAATCAGCATGTTCATTATGCTTTCAAGAATCCGAAGCACTCTAAACAATTTCCGCTTATTAGTGATGAACTAGGTACAATTCTTTCATGATAGAACTCAGACGTAATCTAATACATGTCCTGCAATTATCTATGAAACGACAGTTTCTGCTACGTACTTATTGAAAGTGTATCAGATAAAAAACCACTCTTATCTGCATTTATTTCAAGGCGAAACAGACAGTGCAGTTGATATTTTAAAAAGTACTAAGTTACTCAACCTAAAGTGATGTTGTGAAATATTCATGTTAAACTTCCGAAATACTTGAGGCGAAAATTTTAATTTTTTTTTGTATATCAAATATTGTAGTGGTATGCTACATAGAACAAGTTGGTTTCCATCTTATCTATATGAAGTGGCACGGATATAAAGATTTTTTGAGTTCATACATTTGAAACATAAAAGTCACTGAAGCATTTTAAGCTTATGCTTGCCTAAGGATTCTTTATAGCATGTAAAGGAACCTCTAATCAGTGAACGAAAATTTAAATCAGTCACTTGCGTGAGAAAACTGCAGGTAAAAAGTTTTAACTTCCGCAGTCATGCATCCCATCACCATTTATACCTATCATTTCTGCTGAATTACTCGCGAATTTCCTACTACCGTTTCATTACTTCTTAAACATATTCTTTTTTTCACTCAAATAAAACTGTTTCCCTTTCAAAAAGATATGATATCATGTCACCCATCCTAAATTAAAAAACATTATTTGTTGAATTATAATTTTCAAATACTTCACGCCTAATCCCGATCAATATAATTTTTTCAATACTCACTGACTCTCTATGTCCATGTTCTACAGTAAAAAATATACAAACTATCTTAGTCCTAAAAGGAAAACAAGTATCAGTTTATTTTGTTAGATGTACACTATAGTCCAGCACGGAAGAATTATTCACTTCACCAAGCCAACAAACAAATAAAATCAAGATTTACTGATGAAATCATTGTTGAAAAGTTGAGTTCGGTTTTTTAATAGTTGACACCCATCGCAGATAAAAGTAAATTGAGAAGTAATTGCAGT